CAAGTTAAAACAATGAGATATCATTACATATTACTTAAGCATTACATTAAAACACTAACAATATCAAATGCTGGCAAGGATGTGGAGCAACCGGAAGTCTCATGCATTACTGGTAAGAAAGCTAAATGCTACAGCCACTTTGGCAGTTTCTTACAAAAGAAAACATACTTGACGGGAGGGGCCAAAATGGCCAAATAGAAACAGCTCTGGTCTGAAGCTCCCAGTGAGATGAATGTGGAAGGCAGGTGAATTCTGCATCTCCATCTGAAGTACCAAGTTCATCTCATTGGGCAGCTGGTGCAACCCACAGAAAGCAAGGAGAAAGCAGCTGGGGTGACACTTCACCCAGGAGTTGCACAGGGCGGGGAGACCTGCCTCCCTGAGGTAAGGGAAGTGGGGAGGGTCTGTCCTACCCACCAGGGGTACTATGCTTCTCCCACAGATTTTTGCAATCTGCAGATCAGAAGATTCCCTCATGAGCCTACACCACCAGGGTCCTGGGTCTCAAGCACAAACTTGGGCAAACCAATGACAGCCACTCCCATTGGTGGCTGTTTAGGCAGGCCCTGAGCTGCAGGAGTTTTTACATGCTCCAGTGGTGTGTGGAACTCCAGTGAGGCAGGAGAACCATCCAGTCCCATGGAAAGGGGGCCGAAGCCAAGGAGGAGAGCCTAGCAGTCTCAATCAGTGGGTTCTACTCCTGTGGATCCCTGCCAGCTAAGACCCACTGACTTGAGATCCCCGCTGCCAGCAGAGTAGTCTGGAGTGTGCCTGGAATGACCAAGTTCCTGCGGGGAGGGGTGACCACCATTAGTTGGCGGTTTGCCCCTGACAGTGCAAAGGAGCCTGAGAGGTTTGGACTGGGTCAAATTTCCCACAGTGCAGCAAAGTGCTGTGGCAGGTTGTGGCCAGACTGCCTCTTTAGGTGGGATCTTGAGCCATCCCTCCTCACCAGGCGGGCCATTCCTGCAAGCATTCCAGCAGCTCCAATCAGGGGCTTACAGACAGAACTCTCATCTCCCTGAGTCAGAGTGCCTGAGGGGAGAGGCAGTTTCAGATTCAGCGGACTTAATCTTTCCTGCTGGCTCTGAAGAGACCAGATGAACCGGGTGAGTGCGATTCCCCCAGTACAGCACACCAGTTCTGCTAAGGGAACATCAGACTCTCTACATAAGCGGGTCCTTGATCCTGTGCCTCCTGACTGGGTGAGACTTCCCAACAAGGGTCACCAGACACCTCATACAGAAGCGTTCCAGCTGGCATTAGGCCAGCGTTCCTCTGGGGCGAAACTTCCGAAGGAAGAAGCAGGCAGCGATCTGCTGTTCTGCAGCCTCCACTGGTGATACCCAGGTGAACAGGGTCTGGAGTGGATCCCCAGTAAACTGCAGCAGATCTGCAGCAGAAAGGCTGACTGTTAGAAGATAAACAAACCAACAGAAAGTAACAAAGACAACATCAACAAAAAAGACTCCACAAAAACCCCATTCAAAGGTCATCAGCCTCAAAGATCAAAGATGGATAAATCCACAAAGATGAGGGAAAAAACAATGCAAAACCCCTGAAAATTCCAAAAGCCAGAATGCCTCTTCTCTTCCAAATGATCGCGACACTTCTCCAGTGAGGGCATAGAACGAGGCTGAAGCTGAGATGGATGAACTGACAGAAGTAGGCTTCAGAAAGTAGGTAATAATGAATTTCTCCGAGCTACAGCATTATGTCCTAACCCAATGCAAAGAAGCTAAGAAGCATGATAAAAGATTACAGGAGCTGTTAACCAGAATAACCAGTTTAGCGAGAGCATAAATGACCTGATGGAGCTGAAAAACACAGCAAGAGAACATCATGATGCAAACACAAGTATCAATAGCCGAATTGACCAAGCAGAAGAGAAAATACCAGAGCTTAAAGACTATCTTGCTGAAATAAGGCAGACAGACAAGACTAGAGAAAAAAGAATGAAAAGGAATGAACAAAACCTCCAAGAACTACGGGACTATGTAAAAAGACTGAACCTACCACTGATTGGAGTACTTGAAAGAGCCAGGGAGGATGGAACCAAGTTGGAAAACACACTTCAGGATATAACCCAGGAGAACTTCCCCAACCTAGCAAGACAGGCCAACATTCAAATTCAGGAAATCCCCAATAAGATACTTCATGAGATGATCAACCACAAGACACATAATCATCAGATACTCCAAGGTCAAAATGGAAGAAAAAATATTAAGGGCAGTCAGGGAGACAGGTCAGGTCACTGACAAAGGGAAACCCATCAGACTATGAATTTTGAGTGACTACAATATGCCAGTGTAGGTTTATTAATTGTAATAACTGTACTGCCAGTGAAGAATGTTGATGTTAGAGACTGCTATGGTTTGAATGCGTCTCCAAAGTTCATGTGTTAGTCACTTAGTCCCCAATGCAATAGTGTTGAGAGGTGGGCCTTTTAAGAGGGAATCAGGTCATAATGTCCTTCCTTATAATGCGAGTGGGTTTACTATCACGAAAGTGGATTTGTTATCAAAGCAAGTTTGGTGCCTCTTGCTCTCTCTCTTTCTTATGCATGTGCTCTCTTGCCCTTCCAAATTCTGCCGTGGGATGATGGAGCAAAAAGGCCCTCACCAGATGTGTCTCTCAGTCTTGAACTTTCCAGCCTCCAGAACTATGAGCCAATAGATTTTGTTCATTATAAATTACCCAGTCTTGGGTATTCTGTAATAACAGCACAAAACAGGCTAAGACAGAGTCTATGTATGTGTGGCAACAAGGAGAAAATGAAAAACAAACAACAACAAAAAAACTATCTTTCTCACAATTTTGCTGTGATCCCAAAATGGCTCTAAAAATATGGTCTTTAAACCAAAAAAAGAGCAAAAGGAAAAAGGATATACTAGCAGCAGATCTTACAAGAATATCCAAATTTAAAGAGCCATCAAACCAGTGGTGAATTTAAATTTCCCTCCTCTAATATCATGCCCCGAACTTAATACAGCCAGAAACATGGAATTGAGCACCTGTCAGCATAAAAATAGAGAGGGCTCCAGGAGAAGCACTAGAGGTATGGTTTGAGGAACAAAAAAGCAAACTCCTACCTCAAATAGAGTATGAAAACACCACATTTATTTTTTCTCCCTCTCTCTTGTCTACACTGCCATGTGCCTCAAACCTCAGGCAATCTGATGATGGTAGTGGAAACTACAGCAACGTGCAATAGCCAAAACCTTGAGAAAGATCAATCCTCAGCCAGGCGCGGTGGCCCACGCCTGTAATCCCAGCACTTTGGGAGGCCGAGGCAGGCGGATCACGAGGTCAGGAGATCGAGACCATCCTGGCTAACACGGTGAAACCCCGTCTCTACTAAAAATACAAAAGATTAGCCAGGGGAGGTGGCGGGCGCCTGTAGTCCCAGCTACTCGGGAGGCTGAGGCAGGGGAATGGCGTAAACCCGGGAGGCGGAGCTTGCAGTGAGCCAAGATCGCTCCACCGCACTCCAGCCTGGGCCACAGAGTGAGACTCCGTCTCAGAAATAAAAAGAAAAGAAAAGTCAGTCCTCTCCATTCAGTAGAGTTGTGGCTCCATGAGAGTGGGGCCAAACCTCTTGCTTTTTTTTCTTCTTTCTCGCTGTCCTTCTGCCACATGAGTTTAAAGATGCAGAAATGACTGCAGAAGTGTATGGTTCATCAGAATAAAAGGAGCCCCGCGTTTCATGGAGGATGGAAAGGAGAAGCCCCTGGGAACCTGAAAGTACTGGTCAGATGGTGAAGAGGGAGAAACGTTAGAAAGAGATCCATGAACATTATTTATAAACTCCTGGATTCACCTGCCCCTCAACTTATGCATGCCTAGATGTGTTTCTAATTGGCATACTAAAGATGTTAAGACCCGAGCTAATGAATAGAGCATTGCGCAGTTGCCAGTTTCACCCCGGGTTGAGGCATATACCTGAAAAGCTCTACAAAGGCTTTCAGAATGGAACTGACATTGGAACCGGATCCCACAGATTGTCTTCATCCCACCAGTGTGATTGCTTGCTAAAACAATAGTATCAATATTCTCCAAAATTTAAATAAGATCCAGTTTAACTAAATATTTATTCAAAAGTTCAAATTACAGTCCAATATTACACAGCATATGAAGAACCATGAAAATGTAAACTTCGGTGGGGAAAGACAGTACAAGCCAAGGAGGGAAATGACAGAGATGTTGGAACTATCTGACAAATACTTCAAAGGAGTTGGTATAAAATGCTCAAAATACCCAATGAGTGAAGAAACAAATTAAGTCATTTAACAACATTTAGAGTTCATCTTTTTCCCCCTCTGAATTACCTTTTCTTTAAATTGATTACCTTTTAAGATGGGAGGAAAAAAACTCCAAACTTTTAAGTCCTAAGTTATAAAACCTTGATTTTCTCTAACTGTGGCAAAAGACATTTTTTTTCCACTTACTAAATCATCATATAAAGCTTTTCACTTACTAAATCATCATATAAATCATCATATAAAGCTCTCTCTATATATAGTTCCAGTGCATCCAATCTAACATAATTACATTAGAATGCCCTAAGTTTTTACTTCAATCTTTGTTTACTTTGTTGATTTGTAAATGTCCTTTACATACTATTTTCTACCTTTTCTCTCTTATGAGCTTCCATGGTAGGTTTTCTACCTATGTAATAATGATAGTATCTTGTATCTGAGTAACACTTTAGAGTTTGTAGTTTTTTTTTAGTGAAATTCACTATTTTTATTTTCAATCATAAACTTAACCTTATCTCATTGTCTTACATGTTTCATTGTTCCCTCTCCTTAGTTGTTACAACTGTGAATATAAATATATGCATATTTCACATGAATTATAAGCCAATTTATAGACTCCCACATTCCATCTCTTATCCTTGAAAACTTCTTACTGGATCAGTACCTTACCTGTGTGAGCCCATCACTACCACTACCTTCCCATTCCAGTCCTCACGTTTACTCTACATCCCAGCTTTTTACCTGGGTTTGCAGGCAGTTCGGATGGTGCAATGTCTTTCTCCACATTCTTACTGTCATGCATTTTGCCTCCAGTACCATGAGTGATCTAAACCACAGTCTGTGTTTTCAACCCCAAGAATGATTCGAAACAAAACGAAACCAAGAAAAGCCCAACGACTAAAATATGTCAGTGTGTAACTGCCCCAGTAACACAGAATTTAAAGCCTTTAAAATAAATATAGCTAGAGGAACAAATGAAACACAAATTATTTCAAAAATCAGCTCATCACAACAGAATAAACTGGTGTTTGTAAGAATTTAAAAGAAAAAAAGTTGAAGCTACTTCTCCAACAGTATTTTGGTTACAAAAGAAACTAATGCTTGATAACTTAAAATTTTTTGACTGTTAAAAAACTATAATTGTATTTTATGTGGTACAAAGCAATATCATGATAGAAAATAAGAATGTATTGAAAGGAAGGAGTTGACTCTCAGAGGAAATGAATATTAGGTGAGTAAAGACAACAGCAATTTTCTTTTTTTTTTTTTTGAGACGGAGTCTCGCTCTGTCGCCTGGGCTGGAGTGCAGTGGCCGGATCTCAGCTCACTGCAAGTTCTGCCTCCCGGGTTCACGCCATTCTCTGGCCTCAGCCTCCGGAGTAGTTGGGACTACAGGCGCCCGCCACCTCGCCCGGCTATTTTTTTGTATTTCTTAGTAGAGACGAGGTTTCACCGTGTTAGCCAGGATGGTCTCGATTTCCTGACCTCGTGATCCACCCGTCTCGGCCTCCCAAAGTGCTGGGATTACAGGCTTGAGCCACTGCGCCCGGCCTACAACTCAAATTAAAATTCATTCCCAAGAGTTTATGTTCATTCAAAAAATATCTTGTTTTCAATTTCTGCAAGATATTTTGGGAAGTTGCTGCTATGGCTGCTACAACAACGTTTCAAAAACGGGCCTGAACGGTGTGCAGCTTCTGTGCTCCCTCTGGAATAATCCAGGAGCACAGAGGTTCTTTAGCAGCAGGAGCTTCTTGTCAGATGTGTTGATTTCTTGTATATAAATGCTGGTAAGGGCACTTTTTACTAAAATACAGTTTATAGTAATGTGCACAAATCATAAGCGTACAACTAAACACGTTCATTACAAATATAACATGTAACAAGTACCTAAATGAAGTATATCTTAAAACCACATAAAACAATACCAACATCCTATGTGCCCTACTCACGTCCTGCAACGCTCGTTACCCCAGATATAATCTCTGTCTTAACTCTGACAACATAAATTGATTTTCCCTGTTTTTTGAATTCTATACAGTAGTCCCCCCCTTACCTGTGAGAAATAAGTTCCAGATTGGACAGCTATTGCCTTAATCGAATAGAAACGAAGTTGAGTTAGGGCTGAGTTCCAGTTTCTGTAAGATTCCATCTATCTTTTTCTTTACTATTTCATCCTTTCTAGTTTTTCCTAGGACCTATGATAAAGCCTTCTAGTAATTCCATCTGAGAACCTACTTTTGAGCAAAGCTGCTTCTCTTTGTTGGAAGTTGAATTTGGTTTTGTCTCCTAAACAACATGTGATTGCCAAAAGTTGAAGTCTGTTTTTCACACTGTTCTTGCTAACCTGTGAAATTTAACAATTTGAAAATTGCTTGAGAGAAAAATTTTTCTCATTTCTTTCGCCCTCTCTCCTCTTTGGGATTTTGGCCCTTCAAGTGCTTTAGGAAGAGATTTTTCTGTCCCTGCAAAAAATGCCTGGTATCCACTGCCTTCTCCCCAGAATCTCAGCATCTGACCCACTGCGAAGATGCCCCTAAGAGAAGGGTGGCTCCTGGAATGCTGACTCACTTCCCCGTGGCCCCTTTCCAGAATCTTTGTTCCCCCTCCAGTTGCCTTGAACACTCTCTAATAATCTTAATGAAATCCTTTTTCTTCAACTCCAGCCTTCTAGTTGTTCTCAGCATGAGTCTGATGTCTCTCCAGTTATATGATCATACACAGAAGTGGATACGAACTGGCAGGCTTTTCCCTTTCACGTCGTTTTATGATTTCATTGTTAGCTTAAAGGGGACAGAAGGTAAACCCTGATAAATTTCACATCATCTTGGAATTTCTACACTAATCTTGAACCTTCCAGTGAAACTACTATTACTTTTACTGTTATTAGCCTGGCATGACAACATAAAACTCCAGCTTATTACTACTTACTATGCTCCATACACATTAATATGAGGTTTAAACATGTGTTCTTATTTAATTGGCATAACTAACTAATGAGGCTGATATTACCTTTATTTTTCAGATGATCTTGGGTGAGGGACTAACTAATATGTCTAAGTTCACAGTAAGCTATAGAACCCATAACCGAAAGATCTGATATGAAAACTACTTTAAAGGTCAAATATCAAATGACATATTATCTGTGAGTTAGTCACATAATTTATTCATATCAATCTCTTGTTTCTACATTGCTGTAAGTTTCTCCTTTTGTAGAAACTAAACTGAAAGTAAGTTCATGAAGTCCTAAAGATGTCCATAATCATTTAACAAATATTTTCAAACTTCATGCCCTTCAGCCAGCACGCCAGGTGGACTTTGAGTGTAATGTCCCTTCCTTTAAGGGAACTGAAAAATAAGTAGGTATGCATGACTTATTGTAACAAGATGTGAGTGGCAGTAGAATAATTTATTAGGAGAGCAGTTAATGAGGGCACTTAACCCAGAAGAAGTTTTCCCAAGAAAGTATCAATCAAATGAGCTGGAGTTAGTTAAATAAAGTGAGGCATTTAGGCCGGGCATGGTGGCTCACACCTGTAATCTCAGCACTTTGGGAGGCCAAGGTGGGTGGATCACCTGAGGTCAGGAGTTCAAGATCAGCCTGACCAACATGGTGAAATCCTATCCCTACTAAAAATACAAAAATTACCTGGGCATGGTGGCTTGCACCTGTAATCCCAGCTACTTGGGAGGTTGAGGCAGGAGAATTGCTTGAACCCTAGAGGCCGAGGTTGCAGTGAGCCAAGGTTGCACCACCTGGGCGACAGAGTGAGACTC